TGGCTACGTAATAGTTTAGTGGTAGCTCAGATGGTTAGCGCTCGCTGTAAGCTTCACAGTACTCGAGCAACCCGGGTTCGAACCCAACGGCACCTATGAAATTGTTAATTGCAATTTTAAGTGCTGATTTACCACGTGCTCGGCGGTGAAGGAAAAACATCGTGATGAAACCTGCATGTCGGAGAAATAAGAAAAAAAAATATTTCGAAGACATGTGAAGTTCGCCAACACGCATTGGGGCAGCGCGGCGGACATTTCCTTGCCCTAAAACCTTCTTAGAAATGAGAGGAGGCCCGAGCCCAGCAGTGGGACGTAAATAGGCTGCAACTTTACTTTACTTTAACTTTACATAATATGTATATTATACGGAATACACTTTATAAATACTAATTTCATAAACACTTTGTAAATACTAACGCGACTAATAGAATTTACTCAAACTAACGATTACGATACTATTAGAACTTATCAAAAGTTTTCTGCTGACAAGGCTTTCCCCATAGATTGTTTCATAGATAAATATTTGCCACCGTTGCCACACTTGGCATGTGGGTTGGCGAACGCGGATTTCTTTACTCATCTGTTGATGAAAAAGAAGAATCTAGTGTTGAAATATATAGATATGTAAGATGGTTTAAAATAACTGTACAAGTGTGGTAAATAAATAAAATGAATAAAAAATACTATAGTACACCATTTGGTGGGTGGTCACCCAACAATGCCAGTACGAGGCTGCCTCTCTAGAAACTTTCTTATTTATCAAATGGGATGTTGCTAGTTAGGGCAGAGCAAAACAGTATCACAGTGACTAAATATTTAGTTGCGGATCACGGGTTCGATACCTGCACGGTACTAGTAAAAATATCACTTACAAACAATTCTTTCACATTATAGGAACATGTAAACAACTCCACAATACATAAATTTCTAAGAACAGTAAAATGCTAGTAGTTGAGTAACGCTTTCTGTAGTAAAAAATAAAGGAATCACACCCATAATCATTTTTTTTTCTATCATAGCGATATCTTAATTTTCTGATGGTTTTTGTTGTATCGTAATTGATCTTCATTTGTTTCTTATGATGGTTATTATAACGATATGATTTACTTGCTTGTTAAAAGTTATTGCAAAGTGTTAAAATGCTATTTCTTCTACGGACATAATATACTAACAATACTACCAAGGTTAATGAGATTGTGTGATATATATATAGAAACATTTTTAATCGTTCATGTCGCTTATATACTTACAATATAAATATTTTTTACGTTTTTTATAGAGACTCATTTATTCGTGGTATCCAGTTTTTCTATAATTTAAATGTCTAATTAAGTTGAATATCTAGAAACTCCACTTTCAATAGGTTATTGGTTCAAGCCGGTAAAACGAGGCCTTTGCCCTGCGTGGGATGTTTATTTAAAAAAAAAGACTATAATTTTTTTTGCCAGTTACTATAATAATAAATTTGAGCATGATATCAGTTTTTATGTTTGTTTGTATTTTAATTTCTAATATTAATGATTCTTCTTCAACAACTCTTAAAATTCTCGTCCACTGAATTTTTGCCTTTGCCATTTCGGGAGGATTTGACATATTAGCCATGTTTGACAGTTGGATTAACCTATCACAATACTGAAGGTCTTTCATCTTGGTCTCTAATAACTACTAATTAACTGGCTTGTGCATTTTACGTCTAGTGTAAAGAGTATGGCTATATAGCCATCTGTCGACAGTGGTAACTGCTAGAAAACCACAAGGACTTTCTTGTGATTACGACTGTCGCTCTCTCAAGTTTCTATAGGACAAAATGGAGAGATGGAAACCCTCACTTTACCACCACATGACGCATTTTTATAACCAAAGACAAAAAGTAACAATTGTCACAACTAACACAATTTTATAATTTTTGAAATCAATCTCTTTTAAAAAAAATTACGGTTAGTAAGAATTGTTGATGTTGATGGTAAGTGGATGCTGTGACCCATACATCTATGTCTATGCTCAATTAAGAATCAAAATGCCGATGCGTTATTACGCCTGAGACTAACATGGAATGCCTCGTTTCGAGTAAAATTGGTATCCGGTTCACACCGAATACCATCTTTTTGAAAATATCAGTGTAATGTTGATGTGTTTTGTATGGTGAGTGTAGAGAACCGGAGAACCTTTTTTACTGGTAACTTGACATTTTAAATGTATTCTAGTCCTCAAAAGTGACAACAAATCTATATTTTGACTCATAATCGAGTACACGTGGTAGAGCCACGCTGTAGCTGTATTATGGTTATACCACGAATTGGTCGACTCAACCGGGAGGACTAAGACCACGCTCTCACAGAATACCAGTGTAAAATAGCAGCTTGATGCTTCTGTTTTTCGTATGGTGAGCTTAGAGAACCGGAGACCCTTTTTACTGAAAGCGAGACATTCCATCTCAGTGCTCAGGGGTGACGACGCATCTGCATTTTAATTTCTAATTGAGGATAAATGTAGATGTCTATGGGACACAGCAGCCGCTGTTTATAAGGTGGACTGTGTGCTCGTTTGTCCCTTTATTCTGTAAAAAAACACACATACACACAACATCCATTTAGCATCAGGTGGTTTGTGTACTCGCTGTTCCCTTATTTTATAAAAAGTGTACCCAAGATATATATAGGAGTAAGAAAGACAAACAAGTAAACAGTCAACCTTATTGTAAAAGGCTGTTGTGGCTATAGACCAACTAACTACCAACATTTAAGTATTCTCAATCATGAATAAAAATACAAATATGACAGCGTATCTTTCTGGACTAAAATGAAAATTCTAAATAACAGTAAAAATGGTTTGGGTTATCTTCACTAATCGTACCGTCAAATACAGTAGCAGTATGCAGTTACACGTATTTTATGCTGTTTTCCAAGCAAACCGAGTCCTTCTGAGCCGAAAAGACCTATTCTTGCTGCAGCCATGATACGTTGTTGTTGGCTCTTCCACGTATACGACAGCGTGAATGTCGTTCATTATCATCGTCATCATTATCATCATCATCATTATTAAGTCTACTAGTGAGGACTGTTCTTGACAGGATTTTTGTTAAAGTATTTTCTTACTTAGATTTCAAAATTCAAAACTTTGATCAGATCTGTAATGTGGCGTTTGAACTTTCAAACAGATAATGATTTTAGTTTACATACATCGAAATACATTATCATCACCATTATCATCATTTTAGCCCATCACAAGTCCACTGCTGAACATGGGCTCCACAAGGAATGCCACAAAGCTAGGTCCTGAGTCACCTGCATCCACCGACTTCCTCCGTTGTCCATCGCCTTACCTAATAGAGCGCCGCCCTATCAATGACACCCTTCGTCATTGATTGTCGGTTCAAAGACGGGCCTGCTCATTTGCACTTCAGCTATTTATAGCAGCTATATTTATATATATTAGGTCGGGGAAAGAGTTTCTTCGTATTTTATATACAAATTCAAGACATTATTTTTTTCAAATTTTATTTGCATTTAATTATAATGTATATGTGCCGTTAATACGTTTCTCTATATTGGTTACTCTATTTCTGATGCAGATATCTTCATTACGGAGTCTATCGTGAGTGATTTTCATCAACTACGACACTTGTTTGAGTGTCGTAGATATTGAGATTTGAATTTTAAAATAAATGCCTTTATTAGTTCGTTCTTTATTCTTTTCATTTATTAAATGATACAAAGGGTTGGAAACTATTTATTATTTTGTTTTAAATTTTACTAATTTCTTATTAGTACCAGCGTGTAGAGTTTTAATCTACAAGTAAATCAATGGTATAGTTATTAGCTAGGAATTAATGGCCTAAACATGTTTTGAATCGTCGGCTAAATGTCAGGTGTATGGAGCCGATAAAAAGTATAGGAAAAACACAAAAAAAACTGACCTTTTCTATAAATAGTGAAAAAACCGTGATATCATTGTACATTACCAAGAATATAAAAGGATTTTATCCGAAAAACGACAATTGTAACGATTCGTCAGTAGAACGCGAAGGAACTCAACATGGTGAGCATTGAATACTAATATTAGATAATATTGAGATATGAATAGTGAAAGTACCTGATATTTGTTTAGCTGTGATTTGTAAATTACAAAACTTTTAACATTAATTAAATCAATACAAATAGTTTCATGTTACTAAATGTCTACAGAATTTTAAGTTACAGTTTTTACGATTCATATTCTTTTATTAAGATGCATTTCTGCGTGTAAAGATGCCAGTTATGTAGATTATGTAATAAAAATCTGAATTTGGAGCCTGATAATTGCAAAATCCTCAACTTAAGACTCCGCTTAAAATGTCATGCTTTGTTAATGTGACAGGTATTGATTGACTAGTAAATTATGCATATAATTTATGCATATAATATATTGCTGTTCAAAAGAGGACGAAATAATTTAATTTTATTATTAATTTTATTTAATAATGTGATCATTCCCGGTTTTAATGTATAATCACAGAGCAAATGAACTCGATTCGACGTGAGACATATGTATAAAAGTTTTACCATAAGATTAATATAAGTAAATATTTCACATAACGTAAAATGCCAAAATGTAGGGTCACGTTTCAGCGTCATAAAAAATTGTTTCATACATTGATTCATTACTAAGAATTATTAATTAATATACCAAAAGTCCACTGCTCAACATAATTATAGACGTCCCCCATAGATTGCGAGGGATATTTGTCATTACTGGCACGCTCGGCAGGCGGGTTCGCAACCGTATTTATATTTTATTTCGATTTGTTATCAGGAAGGTGCTGTTGTCGATCTCCTGTTTTATTTTGGTTTCCCCCTTATGTAATTCTTTAATACATATGCAAAATTTTCCATTAAAGGATTATCTGTAAAAACTAAGTCGATAATTTATAGAGTATTAATTTTGTAGTTCCATGACTCTTTCTACTGTTGGTGAAATATTTAATGTAATTAAAAAACATGTTATTTTTTTTTATTTTACAGAAAAACCTTATTGTCTTACTTTGCGCCATTGGCTGCGCATGTGCCACCGTTTCGGACCAAGAAGCCAATATTGTTCGTAGTAATTTTGATCACGATGCTGAAGGTGGTTACCAGTTTGCATATGAGACAGACAATGGTATAACAGCGCAAGCCGATGGAAAAATAACAGTTTTAAGCGAGGTAAAAAAATTGGTCACAATAATAATTGTTGATTATCGCTTACTAAATTAAGTATTAATCATATTTATCGTAATTACCAGTCTTTTGTATTGTCATTTGGTGACAAGAGAGAGCAACTGGTCAACTACGATTCTTTATGTTAACGTGATTGAAGGTTTCAAATAATGAGCGATTAAAGCTACAATTGAAAGTGTAGCATTTGTACACGCCTCAGTCGATTGGTTAACTGTTTCAAGAATTGCTATCAATCAATTTTTTTTTCATCTGCCTTCAATGCCGTAGTAATATTGATAGTTGCTTTAATTGCATAAAAGACCTAAAATTTGGTCGAAATAATTCGTCGAAACCCTAAACGCGATTATTTTCGATTGTCATGACATTTGGACAATAATATAGTATTTAAAAAGCATTTTTTTTTATCTTTGACATGATATTTAGTAATAAATTATAAAGTTATTAATACTAATATAATAAAAATTAATGTTTATTTGTTCGTATTTTATGCCCTGCCATACCGTTCAGCGCGGAGGTTATAGGCATAGTACAATTCTTACAGTAGGTGGCGCAAGTATCGTGCCGACAATTTTATTTGAAAGTTATATAATATCATTCAATTTCAATAATGTATTATCATGCCTAATTAAACAATATAAATCTTCCAAATTTAAACCAATATTTCCATCATTATTTATTTTGAGACATCAACGCGCCGGGTTCCAGCTAGTAAATCATAAATAAATATTATATATTTTTTGTTTCCTGATGCGGCTGGTTCAAAGTTCCAACAAACTATTAAGAAATTTGTCTTTGATCCTTATTCACTACTTTACTAATTTCTGTTACAGAATTCGACTGCTCATCAAGTGCAGGGATCAGTCTCGTACGTGTCACCCGAGGGTAAAACAATTGAGATTACCTACGTAGCTGACGAAAACGGATACCGGCCTGAGGTATATTTTGCAACGTAGTTAAAATGACATTGTAGATTCTAGTTATTCATTAATTGTTACACATAGTTACAGCCTAGCAATAACCACTAAACATAGACCTTCCCGAAGATTACCTCATACAGCTCTGTGGCGCAGTGGCTTAGCAAGAGTTGCTGCGCTGGGGGGCGCGGGTACGAATCCCGCACGGAACAAGTATTTGTACAAATAATTGTTCCGGGTCTGGATGTTTGTCCTTGTACAATTTGTGTTTGTAAACTGCCTCCACGATACAGGAGAAAATCCCAGTGTGGGGGTAACGTTTTTTTTTAAAGAAAAAAAATGGTAATATTTTCCATAGTTGCCATGCTTGGCAGGCGGATTGGCGAACGCAGTTTTTTTTTATTTTGCGACTTTTACGGGCTGATAAAGAAAGAAAGAAGAAAAATGTGATGTGAGTGCATCTCAAGAAATTGAGTGCAGTTTCAGTGTCACTTGAAATCTATTGTTTTGCATACTGGGGCTATAAATATAAGATATAATCCTTATCAATATAGAATCGGGTAGTTGACTGGGGATGGTAGACAATAATTTAAAATAAAATAATATATTTTACAACCGACTTCAATATAAGTTATTAAGAATAACTCAAAAACTGTTGATCAGACCTTGATCATATGGGACCACATGTGAAGCACCAGCTTTCAAATAAAAAAAAGAATCATCCAAATCGGTTTACCCAGTAAAAAGTTACGAGGTAAACACATAAAGAAAAAAAACATACAGTCGAATTGAGTACCGTCTCCTTTTTGAAGTCGGTAGGAAAATTAACCATTTGTATTTGCACTTTTTTCTTGGAGCACGTCCCGAGTTTCTGTGTAATTTATAGAATGTAAAATAAGAGTGTTTCAAAATATTTAATTTTAAACAGAGTGATTCTCTTCCAACTCCACCGGCGCCGATGCCCATTCCGGACTACATTGCTCGCGCTATTGAATACATTGCTGCCCATCCTTACAAAGAGGAGACAGAGGTAAACGAAGAGAAGAAAGTTGCCAAGGTAAACGAAGAGAAGAAAGTTGTCAAGGTCAACGAAGAGAAGAAAGTTGCCAATGTAAACCCACCAAAGCGATATGGCAGGAACTAAACGGCTTATAATCCGTTCGCCGTTTATAATGAAGTAAAGCGAGGGCTCAAGATTATGTCTAAGATTTAAATTCATAATGGCAAAGGTATTGAAAATCGATTGAAAACGACAAAACAATAATACTATATTGTAATATAGCATTTGTATATATTTTGTTCACAATAAATACAATAAATTGTACATTTTTGTTAGCTAATCATTGTTTTTTTTTATCGTTTGTTCGAGGGAAGCAAATAAGGAGATGGGCAGTAGCGTTTTCATAATAACAACTGGAAAATAAAAAACTTTGGTTGTCAATTCGCTTGCCAAGCGTGGCAGTTATTGCAAATACGGGCAGTCGATAGAATTTTGTTAGTATTTTGTACGATCGCGCTAGTTGCCGATCTATATATGCTAAGAGTTAGCTCAGATGGTTAGCGCTCGCTGTAAATTTCACAGTATGCGAGCAAACCGGGTTCGATCCCCGTCGGCACCGATGAAATTATTACTTGCAATCTTAAGTGCTGATTTACCACGTGCTCGGCGGTGAAGGGAAACATCGTGAGGAAACATGCATGCCTGAGAAATAAGAAAAAAAATATTTCGAAGACATGTGAAGTTTGCCAACAGGCATTGGGGCAGTGTGGCGGACTCTTCCTTGTCGTAAAACTCTCTCAGAAATGAGGGGATGCCTGTGCCCAGCTGTGGGACGTATATAGGCTGTAACTTTACTTTTTACTTTACTTTACGATCGCGCTAACAACTATTTTATTTTTATCCTTAATTTGATTATCGCAATAATCTACTCATATACAATTGTTTGCGTTTTGATTAAAATTGTCATAAAAACTTAAAGATACGTTCGTTACAAGCATCCATGTCCCGCTGCGGGCACAAGACATTTTATCTAAAAGAGGTTAAAAATTGACATTTATATATTTGTTGTGCTAAGTTAACGTTCGGAGTATTGCACTCTGCTCCTAGAACCCAATAGTGTCTCACAACGGGTAGGTCTTAAGAAGAATAACGGACAACTGATGCCATGGTACTTATAATTGTTGGGGACACTGCGCTCGAAGTTGTTGACGAGTATGTATACCAGGGACAAAACTTTTTTTATAGAATAAAGGTGACAAACGAGCACACAGTATACCTGATGGTAAATGGACGCTGTGGCCCATAGACATCTACATTTATCCTCGAGTAAGAATCAAATTCATTTATCCTCAAGTAAAAATCATTGCCGTGTAGTGGCGGTTAAGAATATCCACTACCCCATATCTTCCCGTGGGTGTCGTAAAAGGCGACAAAGGGAAACAGGCAGGAGATGGGCAGCAGCATCTTCCTGGTAACGGCAAAATACAATTAAAAAAAAACTGCGGTTGCCAACCCGCTCGCCAAGCGTGGCAACTATGGCAATATACCCCCCATGAGCAATGACAATAATAAACGGCCCCCAGTCCCCGGCGGCCCCGCTATTCCTGGCTACGGTGGCGACCATGGTAACGGCGGGGCAGGGGGTGCTAAGAATCTCCGGTGGAGGTTCGGTTGCCACCTACGACGACTCGACCTGGCAACATACAACGCACGCACCCTGAGGACTGACGAGAAGATTGTGGAGCTGGAAGAAGAGATAGACAAGTTACGCTGGCATATTATAGGATTATCCGAAGTCCGAAGAGAGGGGGAGGACACGGTAATCCTCGAATCCGGCAACTTGCTCTATTACCGGGAGGGCGACCATCTGTTCCAAGGAGGTGTCGGATTTATCGTCCACAAGTCTCTCGTTAACAACGTTGTAAAGATTGAGAGTGTGTCGACGAGGGTTGCGTACCTTATACTCAGAATCACCAAACGGTATTCGCTGAAGGTCATACAGGTTTACGCACCAACTTCGGCACACCCCGATCAGGAGGTGGAGGATATGTATGAGGATATCTCTAGAGCCATGCATTCCTCCAAAACCCAATATACGGTGTTAATGGGAGACTTCAATGCAAAACTAGGCACAAGAGAGAACGGTGAGCTGAAAGTGGGGAAATTTGGAATAGGGCAACGGAACCCAAGGGGCCAGCAGCTGGCCGACTTCATGGAGAAAGAGGGACTCTTTCTTCCAGAAGCGGCCCCACAGGAAGTGGACCTGGTCGAGCCTCGACGGATCGACAAATAATGAGATTGACTTCATTATGACGACCAGACGACAACTGTTCAGTGATGTCTCAGTGATCGCGAGGGTGAAAACCGGCAGCGATCACCGAATGGTTAGAGGCACACTGAACCTTAACGTTAAGTTGGAGAGGTCTCGTCTAATGAAGTCAACGCTCCGTCCCCCTCGTGCTCTAATCCAAGGTCCCGAAACCTATCAGCTCGAGTTACAGAACCGTTTTCAGTGCCTAGAAGACTGCAATGAAGTGGACGATTTGAATGACAAGCTCGTGGAAACTGTCCATGCGGTCGGAGCTAAGTTCTGCAAGACCTGCCGCAGAAGAACACAAAAACTCTCCGATCACACTCTTAATCTCATGGCTGTTAGACGGGAGATGAAGCTACATTCTTCAACAGATTTGACAGCATACAGGCAACTGAACAGACAGATCTCCAAATGCATGCGGCGGGACTTACGCAACTTCAATACAGCTCGTATTGAAGAAGCGATCGAGCGGAACCAAGGCTCCAAAGTCTTTGCCAGAGATCTGTCTGCCAGAAAGAGCCAACTGTCAAAGCTGAAGACCGAATGTGGCAGCATCGTTTCCGGGGCACCTGAGATTTTGAGTGAGATTGAGAGGTTCTATGGGCAGCTGTACACGTCATCGTTGGAGCCGCACGCAAGTGTGAGTAACGATCCAAGAGCGAGTCTTATCCGACATTATTCCGATCATATCCCGGATGTCAGTCTGAGCGAGATTAGAATGTCTCTCCAGCACCTTAAAAAAGGCAAGGCCCCAGGCGAGGATGGAATTACAGCGGAGCTTCAGAAAGCGGGTGGAAAACCGGTACTTGAAGTCCTTCAGAAGCTCTTTAATTCCGTCCTCCATGGTGGCATTACACCGGAGGCGTGGAGCAGAAGTGCGGTGGTCTTGTTCTTCAAGAAAGGCGACAACGCTCTCTTGAAGAACTACAGACCGATTTCCCTTCTGAGTCGCGTCTACGTGCTGTTTTCGAGAGTCATTACGAATCGTCTCGCGCGCAGACTTGACGACTTCCAGCCTCCCGAACAAGCCGGTTTCCGAAAAGGCTTTACCATCATAGACCACATACATACCCTTTGGCAAATTGTACAGAAGTCCGAGGAGTACAATTTACCACTATGTCTGGCGTATGTGGACTATGAGAAAGCCTTTGATTCCGTCGAAATTTGGGCGGTGCTGCAGTCCCTTCAGCGATGCCAAGTTGACTGTCGGTATATCGAAGTGTTGAAGTGCTTGTACAGTAGGGCTACGATGGCTATCCGAGTACAGAACCAGAGTACGAAACCTATCCAATTGCAGAGAGGTGTAAGACAGGGTGACGTCATATCCCCGAAACTCTTCACCGCTGCATTGGAAGTTGTTTTCAAGCTTCTGGACTGGAAAGGATACGGTATCAACATCAATGGCGAGTACATCACTCACCTTAGATTTGCCGACGATATAGTCCTTATGGCAGAATCGCTGGAGGACCTAAGCACTATGCTCAATGACCTCAATAGTGTTTCCCAACGGATAGGTCTTAAGATGAACATGGACAAAACAAAGATCATGTTTAATGTCCATGTCACACCTATGCCGGTAGTTGTTGGGAACACTAAGCTCGAAGTTGTTGACGAGTATGTTTACCTGGGACAAATAGTCCGACTAGGTAAGTCCAATTTTGACCGAGAGGTCAATCGACGGATTCAACTCGGTTGGGCAGCTTTCGGGAAAATACGACACATCTTCTCGTCAGGTATACCTCAAAACTTGAAAACGAGACTGTACACCCAGTGCGTGTTGCCAGTGATGACATACGGAACTGAGACGTAGTCCTTCACTGCTGGCCGGATGAGGAAGCTCAAGGTAGCTCAGCGAGCTATGGAGAGGGCTATGCTCGGAGTTTCTCTGCGTGATAAACTCAGAAATGAGGATATCCGCAGTAGAACCTGAGTGACCGACATAGCCCAACGGATTAGTAAGCTGAAGTGGCAATGGGCCGGCCATATAGCTCGAAGAACCGACAACCGATGGGGAAGAAAGGTTCTCGAGTGGCAGCCTCGTACCGGCAGGCGAAGTGTAGGGCGTGCCCCCACTAGATGGAGTGACGACCTGGTAAGATATGCAGGAAGTCGATGGATGCAGGTGGCTCAGGACCGTGCTTTGTGGCATTCTTTGGGGGAGGCCTATGTTCAGCACTTGTGAAGGGCTGTAATGATGATGATGATGAAGAATCAAAATGCAGAGGCGTTGTTACTCCTCAGAACTGAGATGGAATGCCTCGTTTCCAGTAAAAGGGTCTCCGGTTTTCTACACTCACCATACGAAACATAGCAGCATTAAGCTGCTATTTTATGCTGGTTTTCTGTGAGAGCGTGGTCCCACTCAGGACGAGCTGACCCATTCATGCTGCAACCAAAATATAGCTGCAGTATGGCTCTACCACGTAAAAACTTCCGATTAGGCAGGTTCAATTATGGCCTAATGCAACTCGGATGGATAACGTATGGGAAATTGTGACAAATCTTTTTTCCAACGGATAAGAAGATTTATTGAAGAATTTTAAAAACATTGATCGAGGCTCGTTGTGTGACCTTGAGCTCTCATATTTTGATCTTCACCTTCGAGAAGACACTTCGACCTTGACCACCAGTAGAGGACTATGTCTCATATGTCGTCACTGGTGTGTTACTAGTGCGTCACTAATGTGTGATCTGAGTCGGGCACTGGTTGTACATTCTGGTATTCAGGTGACGAGATGTATTGTAATTAACCTGAGCGCTGCTCAGACGAGTTGGATCCGTCGAACTCTATTTTGAA